TTTATAATAATAAACGTATTCCAATGAATGAGCTTTTTCTGTTGTTAAAAGGTAAATATGCAAATTAATAGTTATTGTTTTGTTTTAATAGTTTTGATAGTTTCAATACATGATATTAAACTTATCAAAAGTTTTGAACTTAGTTGACACAGATATATGTATGAAAAGTTATTGTTTACGCATATTTACGTCTTTAATACAGATTTATTGTTATTGTTATATTTTAACAGTTTGGATAGCTTTAATACTTGATATTAAACTTGTCCAATTGATTGAACTTGATTTCTACGATTGATATGGGAGAAAATGTTATCGTTTATGTCTGTTTAGGAATATAAAAGGCAAATATACATATTAAACTTTTTAATGGCTTTCAACATATTGAATGGCTTCAATCCTTGATATTAAACCAAGAGAAAATAATTGAATTTGATTTTCATGATCAATATGTGTGAAAGCTCAAAATGATTTTATTGTTTGTATATGTTTAAGACTATTGTGTTGTTACGGGACCAAAATATAAAAACATGAGATTAAAATTATTTAAAATTTTAATAATTGATTGACATACTTGATATGCATGAATAAGTTACGATTGATATGTATCATATCAAATAACATATGTTTTTGTATAGGAGAATGAGATGGGCAGCACAATTGAACATGTGAACCTTTTTCACATAACATATAAAAAAAAGACGAATCTTACATGAATGTCGAAACACAAAAAATTATAGTAATTTGTATCATCTATTTTAACAAAAAGTAAATATTTACTCTTTTTAACATATAATCAATTAATCATTAAACTTAATAGTTGTATATGATTAATTCACAGGAAAAAGCAAAAGAAAAAATGGCTGCTGAGATTAAAATAGCATATGATAGTTTTCTCAACATGCAAGAAATAAAAAATCGGATATTCATAGAAGTTGAAAAAAAAGGCATGGACGGGTTCGAGGCCTTGGATTGGGTCCAATACCATATGCCTACTATAGACATAGCTCTCCACAATTTACATTCTCAGCATGTCAGTCTTCGTGAGACATTTCAATATTGAGAGGGGAGTTGCAAACTATGCAACAACGATTTTAACAAATTGAAGTAAAAAGAGAATAGGAGTATGCCAAAATTGAGGAAGAACATGCTAGAATGGAGCAAGAGCGTGCTAAATTTCAGTAGTTGCACAATCGATTCAATCATCTTATTAATTTTGTGTAACAATAATTTTCAAGAAATGATCTTGGAGCTCTACCAACTCAGGTATTATATTTAGTAAATATTTAAATTTTTAAATATATAAAAGGCTTACAATGAAGTGTTAAAAATTGTGTGGTATTATTCAGTAGGTTCTTGAACACGCTAGTGATCATAATGAAAAATTTTCTTCATCAATTGGCAACCAACAAAATGTATGCAGTCATCTATTTCATACATTTTAATTTTTTATTTTGTTAATATATTAAAAATATTTAAATGTTATTATACTAATTATTAAACTTTGTATTAATTAGATGTATATTTAAACGTGAATGAAATTAATATAAATTTTAGTTTACGAATTTAAGCTCTTTCATAAAAATAAAATTTATTAAAAAAAATTAAAAAAAAATTACATTTTTACATAATGGTGGCGTTTGCATTCGACAATGTCACTAAATGAATAATTTAGTGACAATTGTAGCATAAAATACCACTATAAGTAGCGACGCTCTTACCAGTAAATGTTGCTAGTTAAGTGGCATTTTTTATACAAAGGCTACTAAAGTAATTGCGTTTTTCTCATAAAAAATCACTAAATTAGTGGTGAGTAAAAGATACAAACACCGCTAATATAAACGCATTTTTAGATTCAAACGCTTCTAAAGTAATGATGTTTTTAGTTATAAATGCCAACAAAGCAACAACATTTTTTCTCATAAAAAAGTCACTAATTTAACGGTGTCTCAAATATAGAAACGCCGTTAAAATGGTTGCATTTTAGATATAAATGTCACTAATATTGAGGTATTTTTTTTGAAAATATCGCTAATATTGAGGCATTTTTTCAAAAATATCGCTATTTACTACGACACATGTATAGCCTGCACTCTGCATGACATTTTTTGCAAACGTCGTAACTCTTTTTGCAGTATTTATAAACGCTGCTAAATGTTAAAAAAAACGTCACTAAAACCAAAACCTCTATAATGTTTATTTTTTTCTTAATAAAAGAAGCAGGCTAATGACATTATATTTCATTGTTTAGTAATTAAGTTCAGTTGTACTACTATAAGTTTTATATTTTTATTTTTAATTTAAATTAAATTATAATTATAATTATAATTAATTTAAATATTTTTAATTTAAATAATTTTGATCTAATAAAAAATGTCAGATTGATGCTAATATAAAAATATATATTCAAACTAGCTTTTTTAACTCGTATAAGGTATGAAATTTTTTATTAAATTTTTCATAATTTTAAATTTATTTTTTAATTAGTTATCTAATATATAATTATATATTTATAAATGCTAAGTTACAATTAAGTGATAATTTATACATAACATATTACAAATAATATTGTTCATCTAAAAAAGATCTAAACTTTTGAAAATTTTAAGAATTATAAAAATCCGTTTTTTTAATTAAAAAATATTTTCTTTAATTTATTTGCTAAATACTAAAATTTTGCTACTGCTTTTTTCTTGTTTGATAAAAAATCAAGAATCAATATTTAAATAGTTAATATTAATAATTATTCTTATCAAAATGTTGATTGGGTGATGTATATATATATATATATATTTGATTGAACAATAAATCACAATTATTAATTTTGTTATAATCATTGACTTTTTATTAGTTCTTATTTTTTATTATTACATAAATATATTGGGCTAACAATTATTTTTTAGATAAAAGCGAAACAATAATTTTGAAATAAAGTTATTTTTTAGACAAAAGTTATTTATGTTATACTTAAAAACTTTTTTTTGAAATATTTTTTTTATTTTAAATCAGTTTTAACATAATTGAAAGTATTTTTTATGAGTTAGACATGATAGTGATCATCATTCTTCTCATATCATCCATTATAGACAAAGAAATTCAATAATAAAAAGTATAACAAAAGGAAATAGAGAATATAAATTTACATATTAATTTATCAAGATTGATTATAATTAACAAAGAATAAAAACATTGAAGAAATGAGTAAATATATATATATATAATACAAAAAGTTAATTATAATCAATCTAAGCAAATTTAAAAAAAGTTATGGATTGAAGAGAAAAAAATAAATTAACTAAATATATAATATAAAAATATTTAAATTAGAACATAAATAAATCATTATGTTTGTTTTCAAAGCAAAAACATATTTTTGTTTAACTTTTTTATCAACATTCAAATGTCTCATATTTTTAGACAAAAAAGGAAGCTTTTATTACTCTAAAAATACATGCTTTCTAGTCAATAATTCATTAAGTTATATAAAAGTATTAAATTTAAATAATCTATTAAATAATTTTAAATTTTTGATAGATTTTGATTTGAATTTAAATAATTATCTAAAAATATTAAATTTAAATAATTTATTAAATAGAATTATTTGACAGCAAATAAAATTTTATTAAATATATGTACTTGGAACTGTTATTAAATTTAAAAAAAAAGATAAATTATAATTTAATATATTTGAATTCAAATTTTATGCAAAAATTTTAATCTTAGATAGATTTTGATTTCAATTTAAATAATTATCCAAACTATTCAATTTAAATAATTTATTAAAAAATTTTATTTGATAAATAAAATAATATACAAAATAATATAAATATTATCATGTGTAATTAAACAAAATTATCTATTTAGGCATCTATTTAAGTAATTTTGATCATGTAATTCTGTATGTGATAATATATATATATATATATATATATTAGATTTTAAATTCGTTAATTAATTGATCTTGTTGACGAGGGTCATAACTATCATTTTGAAAAACATTTATTGGTTAACCTACTAAAAATATCAAATTAATTTATCATATTTAATAAAAAATATTATTATAGATTCATCCTTTTTTATAAGCCAAGTTCATTCTCACTTTTAAAAAGTATTCTGGAAGCACTCTTTAATAAAATTCATAATTAATTAGGGTAAAATACAAAGAACTTGCCTGGAAACCGAAGGAAACTATTTTCTTGGTCTTGGTCATTGTTAAGTCGAAAAAGCAATGGAAAGCCCCTTCAATTATTGGGCAATATACCCCACTTAACTTTTATGACTACCACATAACTTACATGGAAACCGGAAGGAAATTCTTTTCTTGGTCTTGGTCTTGGTCATTGCTCAGTCGAAAGGGCAATGGAAAACTCCTTCAATTATTCCGCTATATACCCATCTTAACTTTATGACTACGACATAAAAAAAAAGAAAAAAACATTCAGCTACCAATCTCGGCTTCAATCCTTCTGGAGACATCTACCTTTCTAGTCAAACAAACGTGAAGGTGAGTTTACTAGTTCTCTTGAATTTCTTCATCTATTTTCTCATCAGTTTACATGTGATCATTTTAATATTTGATAAAATCTGGTTATGATTTGTGTGTTACACTTAATCAATTAATCTTTGTCGTTGTTGAAGATAAAATAATCTAAATTTTAAAAAATAAAAGTAAAGAGCTAGAAAAAACAGAAGCACTTCATTTATATATGTTTTAAATCTTTAATCGTCATAACCAGTTTATGTGTGTTCAAGGTATTATTTATGAGTAAATTACAAAGATAATATTTAAATAAGCTATTGAACTTTAGCTGAATTTAAAAATAGGTTTTTAATATTATATTGTATAAAATTAACAATAAGAATAATTATTTAATTGTATTTAAAATTTTGATGTTGTAATTTTTTGTTGAATTTTTTTAAGTGAATGATTTAATTCGTAAAAAATACTTTTTTAAAATATTTTTAGATGAATTGAATGTCAAATATTTGAGAAAAAATAATAAATGACGGTGATGAAGCTGATGTATAGGCGTGGAAGAAAGAAATTTGGACCGTATCTTTGATTGCTCTTAAGTCGAGTTTTTTTCCTAAACAGGAGTAATTTAAAACTTTTATTCACTAATAAAGATTGTTTTTACCTTTTTACCCTTAAGAGGGAACTTTAAACAAAATAAATTTCATGTCAGCATTTCATTCGTCATCTCCGATTATTTTAACACCAGAGAAGACTACATATTTGGATCAAAAAACTGTTCTTTATATTCTCAAGCTTTATCTCTGATCAACATTATTTGAGATTGTTTAAACCAATAAGAACACATGGATTAGCACTAAACTTCAAAGAAAATCATTACAATGTAGAACTTAAAAAAAAAAGTACTACCCAAAATTTATCGCAAAAATTGTTTGATTTAAATGTGAGCCAAAAGCTTGAAGTTTAGAACATGAAAATTCTTCATTTTTTTTTTCTGAAGATGATAAAGCAACTTTATTCAATCGATACCATTATCGAATCATCATTTTCTTTTCCAATAAAAAACTGAGAAATTTCATTTTCAAAAACCTGTATTTGTACAGAAACGAGGGGATCTACAACAAAAGGTTTGAGATATGGTCACAGTATTTTCACAAACAGCAGCAAGATGTGAACAACTACTCGTTAGAAGCGGGTCCTAGTCGAAGAGCTAGTGAGCTTAACCTCTCTGATGAGTCGTCTTCGAGATCAGCAGGTTTTATGATTATGAGACAAGGAAGCATGAACTGCCAAGATTGTGGAAACAAACCTAAGAAAGAGTACTGCCAAGTGTTTCAATGCCAAACTGACGTCAAGGGTACTTGGGTTCCTGCTGCTAAAAGGCGAAGGAGGCAACAACTGACAGCAGCACAGCAGGAGAAAAAAAAGATCTTTAAGAACACAAAGAGTAAAATGCTTATCTTTAGCTATAAAACGTTGGTTTTGTTTGTTTTGTCAACTTTTTCTGTTTTTCTGTTACAAATACAATGATTGGATTTTCAAGTTTTAAACTTTAAACTTTTTGCTCAAATTTAAATCAAACAATTTACCAAAAAAAGTCGGGGTAGTGCTTTTTTTAAATATTTTACGGGGTGGCTTTTTTTTTTTTTTTTTTTGAGTTTTAATGCTAATCCAACAAAAATTTTATTGATTTAAGCAAATCTCAAACAAATGTTAAGTTACCAGAGACTTATTTGTGACTCTCTCTAATGCAAAAGGAGAAAGAAAATAAACGAACACTGAAATCGCATTAAACTAGTTTAAAATACCTTAATAAAGGAAATAAGTTTAAAACTGCTCTTATTAAGGAATAAAGATTTTAAGTTACTCTTGTGTCAGAAAAAGCTCCTTAAGTAAAATTATTTGTCTGAAATATTGGGCTGTAATAATATTTTAATTTGAAAATCACTGCACCAAAAAATAGGGGAAAATATAAATGGAGATTATATATCTTTTTATAAGTGTATTAGTAATTAACTCATCTTTAATTTCTGAATTGCTCAAAAATTATTTGGTAAATATACATAACGAAGGAGGTTATATTCTATTCTTCAAAGTGTGATGGATGCTTAGTATTTTGTGAGGCAATATCCTTTGTAATCGACCGAGAAACTTATGCAGTATCATACTTCATATTTCAGCCAAATTGCAGCTGTCTGTTCCCAAGGCAAGTGGGTCGCGATTGACTGAGCTACGGAAGGAAGAAGAATGGGCAGCTAGAGAGATCCATTTAACAGGTGATAAACATAACGTGTCTGAGCTGCTGTCTGTTCCTAAGGCAAGTGGGTCAGGATTGACCGAGCCACAAAAGGAAGAAGAATGGACAGCCAAAGAGATCCATTTTACCGGCAATAAACATAACGTGTCGGAGCTGCCAAAATCTCCAAACTGCTCTTCTTTGATTGCTGTCTATTTGCAAGGGAATTATGAGCTGACAGCTATTCCTCCCCTATTCTTCCAACACATGGCCCTTCTCCAAGTACTAGATTTGTCCCGTACTAGCATCAAATCTTTGCCAGAATCTCTTCCCAAGTTGGTTGCACTGAAAAGACTCTTGTTACGAGGTTGTGAACTCTTTATGGAACTATCACCTCAGGTTGGGAAACTCAAAAATCTCGAGGAGCTTGATCTTGATGAAACTCAGATCATGGATCTGCCTAGAGAGATTGGAGAGTTACTCAAGTTAAGACATTTTAGAGTATCGTTTTATCATATATGTGGAAAAAAGAAGGGGAAATCAGACATTGTGATTCACCCTGAGACAATATCAAGTCTCTCGCAACTGGCTCAACTAAGCATTGATGTGAATCCGGAAGACAAGAGGTGGGAGGATTCTGTGGAAGTTGTTGTGAAGGAAGTGTGCAACTCAAAAGCATTGAGGACTCTTAGCTTGTACCTTCCAAGGTTCCAACTTTTAGAGAATATATCGTTTTTGTATCCTTCATTGTCACACTTTAGATTTACTGTTGGCCATCACAAGAGGAGAGTTATATCTCGTGTTCCTGCTGAAGTTGAAGCAAAATTCAGAAACGGGGACAAATGCTTGAAGTTTGTGAATGGTGAAAACATCCCAATTGAAATAAAAGGGGTGCTCTATTATGCTACTTCATTTTTCTTGGACCATCATAAAACCGCCACGAATCTATCCGAATTTGGGATTGAGAATATGAAGTGGCTAAAATTTTGCTTGTTGGCCGAGTGTAATAAGATGGAAACCCTTATTGATGGAGAGATGCATTACGAAAGAAATGAAGATGATCGATCTGAATCTGACCTCGGTTCTGTAGAGCATGTGCTTGAGTCCCTAGAATATTTGAGCATTTATTACATGGATAATTTAGGGAGTATTTGGAGAGGACCAAATCGCTATGGATGTATGTCTAAGTTAAAATTCCTAGCGCTGCACACATGTCCCCAGCTGATTAACATTTTCTCTCATTCTTTGCTTGAAAACTTTGTCAATTTGGAGGAGATAATTCTTGAGGACTGCCCTCAAGTCACCAGCCTGTTAAGTCATGCATCCGTCAAGCCAAAGATTTCGGATAAAATATTTCTCCCACGTTTAAAAAGATTGCTGCTTCTCTACCTTCCTGAACTGGTCAGCATTTCTAATGGCCTACTAATAGCACCAAAATTAGAAAGCATAGGATGTTACAATTGCCCAAAGCTTAAAAGTATATTAAAAATGGAACTGTCAAGCAAAACTTTGAAGATAATCAAAGGCGAATGTCAGTGGTGGGAAGATCTGAATTGGAATGAAACAGAGTGGGGAAATAGGCCAGCTTATCTGATGCGTATCTTTTCCCCCATCAATAATGAGAAAGATGTGATGACTCAGCTGGCAGAAGATAGAGATCTACTTGAAGCCACCATAGAAAATGAAGGCCAACAACCAGGTAATATATCTTTTGATCCTTTTTTCTTTTTTTTGCTTTTTATTCATCGTCTAATATTAGCATATGTGTGAGATCAGACCAATGAGTAGGCAAGCCCTGCTACAAATAGTACAAACTGCAAAAGTAGTAAACAAAGACCCCGTAGAACAGATTAACCTCTGGCAAACATCCTTTCATCTTTCTGACCAAATTATATAAATTTATGCACTCCAAGCAAGTCATATTATAAATGATATCAAAGCCTTCCTTTTCAGTCTTTCCTTCGCCCCATCAAATTTACTGGTCCAGTCACTTTGTTGTCTCTGTAGACCACGTAAGTGAAGAACTGGAACCCACCCAAACTTGCTTGGTGAAATTACAAGCAAAAAGAAGATTATACCTGGACTCCTCAACGTGACTACAAACAATAGACAAGCATTTCATGTGAGGACTTGTGCCCCAACCCTGATGAAGTAATCCTCTTTTTTGTTGGCAGCCGACCTAGAATGATATCCATCCAGACAATGATTGCATGTCTGGGATCGAATATGGTACTGCAAAGTTTAAATCATAACCTGTGCCAATAACATTCTCTTTCTTGGGTCGAATAGCTTCCTAGGTACCATTGGAAATGCTCTATGATCTCCTCATGTATATCCCTGACTATGAATTGTCAAACACTAAAATATCCCTGACAGTCTCGATCTTAATGAAACAATAACAACAGTTGAATCAAGTCTTAACCAACCATGAGGACAACTTTAGAAATAAAAAGAAATGACTGAAATAATATGAAAAAGTGTGCCATCATTGATCTATTCACTCACTCATCTCACTTGCAAAATTTTCGAAAGTTTCACATAAAAAGAGTTGGCTAATGACTAATGAGAAGTGAAGATTTTAACCTTGTGCATTTGACAATTGGTAGATGATGAAAAGTTGCTCGACGTTTCAGCACGAGATCATAAAGGCCAGTGTTCAGGTAATTTTCCGTGGTGACTCTTATGAGACGATTCTTCTTATTTTTGCTGTCTTTTCAACTCTCACGCAATTGCAATTCATTACTGCCAGGTTATACCGAGGAGATAAAAACTGAGACAGATATGATCACAATGTCAACTCCTTCGGTAACCATACTTCCATCCTTTGGCCCAAAAACAATAAAAATATATCCATCCATGAGTGATAATGGTTGGGATCATATTAAATTTGATCCAGTTTTTTTGATATTATATAATATTGTTAATTTTTAAAATTTGATTTGAATTCGAATCAAAATTTTATACGATTCAAACTAAATTTTATCGATTTGATTCCGTTTGTATGTTTTTAAATTTAAATTTTTTATTTTTATATATTATTTTAATATAAAATTTTAATATATTTAAATAAATTTTGATATAAAATTATTATTTTTAATTTATAAAAATTTAAAAAATATATAATTTGATTCAGTTTAATTTTTTCAATTTTTCATCTTTCGATTTAAAATTTGATTTAAATCTAATATATATATATATTTAATATTTAAATTTAATTTGAATCAAATAAAAAAATTAATCTAAATCAAACCTAACATTATAATTTTAAATTAAATTTTCTCAATTTTTTTTATCCTTACCATCGATTACAGGGCTGAGGACGTCCGAGGTAAGTACATATCAACTAGTGGAGGTACAGCTATAGAGGTTATGAACTTATTTTGAAGGTTTAAGGGATGTCTATATGTATTATTCCACACGAAACAGATGAACTAAATGCATTACTAATTAAATATGGGATGTCAAAACTTTTCTGATAGCTCCAACTATGCTATGCCAGGTGTCACCATATCTATATGAAATGCAGCATGGTAGCATCCCTATGCCTCTTAAAATGGAAGAGGGGCCTATGTATGAAGATTGGAATGAACTTGCTGAAAGTCAAATACGTGAGATGGCTTATCTTGAAAAGAAAATCATTGAAGCTGAGGCAGAATTGGTATTTTTATTTATTTTTTCATTTTTTCTTTTTCTTTGTGGCTGGAAGAAATGTACAAATTAGGGAGGTCAGGACTCAATTCTGTTGCCATTGACTACAGTCATACTATCGTAAGTCCCGCCATCTATACCGTTGGAGAAGGGTTAGGGATAACGCTGGTCATTTTCTTAATTCAAAGATGCCGAAAGTTGATGTTACCAGTCCCACCTCAGAAAAGGGCATGAACTCAGATGAAAATGTTTCAATCGAATCAGCTCACTTATCTGGTCCTGATTGTGTATTTGCCAATGGTATTGACACTTGCTAGAACATATATTTATTTATCATTATTTTTCTGGTCATATTGAAAGCCAGTGTTCTCTTATTGATGCAATTGAAATCGGGCAGAATACGCAGGCATTGCTAAAGTTTCTATACAAGATGAATCCCAAGAATCAGGTACCTGTTCAGTTTGAGATGAACATGTCTTGTATGCAGGCAGTTGCTTTTCGATGTGTGTCTGTGTAATAAATATTTAAAATAGTGAAGATCAAAGAAGGAATTTATTTCAATAGACAAAGTAAAATTAAGAATTTAAGAGAGTATTTTATATCGCAAATTATGCATGAGTGAGCTCTGTTTTCTCTTTATATTGATTCAAATATAAATGACTCAAACCGTTATCTATCCTGCTTTACCTGTTCATGGCTATGGTTGTGAGAACGTTTAACTACGTTTAACTTGTGTATGGAAAATCGCAGAAGATGAAAATTTATTTGAAGTTTCAAAACAGGCAGACGACCAACAGACAGGTAATTGTTGCTCTCAATTACTGTTTATGTTAATTGTTTCCCTTACTTCTTGTCTTAACATGGGTCCTCACTTACCGTTGTGATTGTCAGATGGCAAGGCAGAAAGGGAGAGGCCGATCCTGGAAAGGAACAAGAAAAGGAGTTGTTTGGTATTATTCCTCTTTTTTACTTTCGAAACTTCTGTTTGATTTCAAAATTTTGAAAACTATAGATAATGCTGTTATATATTGAAAAAAAATTAATATATAAAAATAAAATTATCTCAAGAATTAAATAAAACTAATATTATATTTAGGTAATGATATTTTTTACATAATATCAAATATTATTAATTCAATCATATTAAAATTTAATATCATTTAAATAATGTTATAATTAAATACAATAATAAATCATATCTTTAGAAAAGATTAATTAAATTAATATTAAAATGTAAAAATTATATAAAAACATTAAATACTATTATTTAACGTTAAAATTTATTACATAATAATTTGAATTAATGTAATTCTAAATTATATGCAATAATATTTAACAAATCATATAATTAGTATAGGGCAAAAAAAGCCTTGTTTTCTTTTGCCCCTTGTTTGGGATGCTACTTTAAAAACACAAAAAGAAAATTAAAAAAAAAAAAAGGGAAGAAAACAGGCTTTAAAGGAAAGTTTATAATTTATTAGCAAGCTCAATTATAAAAAAATAAAAAATAAAAAATAAATAAAATAAAAAAGGATGCTCTGTTCTGCGGAAGAAAAAGCTAAAGACAAATTCAGAGACAGAGTAGAGAGAGAGAAAAGGAGTTAAACAAATCAAATTCAGAAACAGAAAGGAAGAGCATCAAAAAATTTATGATTTCTGTTTTTGTTTTTTGGGTTGAAATATCTGAACTCTGTTCTGGCTATTGTCTCTTTGTAGAGCTTTTACTTGCAAAGCTCTTTTTTCTTTTTCATAGTTTCAGCTTCCAGTTCTCCCTCACTTTCAATCTTTATCTTTATCTTTTTTTTTTTTTTTGCTTTTGGGGTGTTTTGGCTGTCTGGGTTTTATTTTGAAGTTTTAATAACAATGGATAAACTTGATAAGTTGAAAACTTTGGTTTTGTGATCTCTGTTTTTGCTCTGTTTTCTCATCTGGGTTGTTTTTATTGCTTACTTTATCAATGACTATGTAGGAGAAAATGGGTGGTTCCACTAGTGAAGATGGCCACATGGACCGGTTTCCAGTTGGTATGCGTGTTTTAGCCGTTGATGATGACCCTTGTTTTCTCAAAGTTTTGGAAAACATGCTTCGTAAATGCCAATATCATGGTTAGTTGTTCTTTTCTTTTAAATACTCGTGAATTTTTTTTTTGCCTAAAGGTTTTGTTTTGAATTTGGAATTTACTCCCAAATTTGTTGATTAGTTACCTGTTTACTGCTCTGTTCTCAATCTTTAATTCAAACTTCGGTCTTGTAGTCAAAATGTTAGAGAAATTGTCTTGATGTGTCTTCTCTTTGATTTTATTGTGTGGTTAGGTTAACTTTTAGATACTGTTTCTGTCAGGAAGATCTGTCTGTTGTGCTTTGAAGTGTGCATTTTGATTTGGATCTTTCTAATGTAGTATGCAAATTTTGACTCTTAATATTGTTAAGACATTGGGCTTCTTTTTGACATGTTTTATGTTGGTTTTTGTGCAGTTACTACAACCAATCAGGCAATTACAGCCCTCAAAATGTTGAGGGAAAACAGAAACAAATATGACTTGGTTATTAGTGAAGTTAATCTGCCAGATATGGATGGCTTTAAGCTTCTTGAGCTTGTGGTGCTTGAAATGGACCTACCTGTAATCAGTAAGCACTAACCCTTTTTCCATTTAATGTCACTGAATGATACTCATTTGTTTTTGCTCGTTTCCCCCTTTGTCTTTTGAATAATTTGTGGAATCAATGAACTGATCTTTTTTTCTGATTCCACGTTCCCTTTTAAGGTTTGAAATTCAGTAGTTTTCTAAACCATAATTATTCTGGGGTCTAAATTTGAATAATAGATTAGAATTGTTTCAGAATGATTCAACATATTTTCTTTCTCTTGATGAATTCAGTGTTGTCAGCTCACCTTGATACCCCGATTAAGGCGATCACCCATGGTGCTTGTGACTGCTTATTGAAGCCTGTTCGGATGACGGAGCTAAAAAACATATGGCAACACGTGGTCAGAAGGAAAAAACCTGATTCCGAGGATCAAATTAATGACCCAAATCAAGATAAGGCTCGGAGAGGAACTGGAGAAGCTGGTCAAACATCAACGAGCAGTTCTGACCAAAAAGTAAAAAAGAAGCGAAAGGACCAAGGTGAAGATGAGGAAGCAGAGGGTGTAGATAATGGACATGAGAATGAGGACCCTTCAACCCAGAAGAAGCCTCGAATTGTTTGGTCTGTAGAGCTGCATAGGGAGTTTATTGCAGCTGTCAACAAATTGGGTCTTGACAGTGAGTTTTCTGCTGTTGAGATTAGTGTCTTATATTCTGACACTGTGATCCTCATGCCACTGCATTTTTAGTTATAGTTTTCCTTTTCTCTTAATTCAAATGCAGAGGCTGTTCCAAAGAAAATTCTTGATCTTATGAATATTAAAGGGCTCACAAGGGAACATGTGGCCAGCCATCTACAGGTAAACCCCTTTCCTCTGTGTTCTTTACTCTCTGCATTATGATTCCTATATATTGCCCTTGCATGTTAAAGTTTTAAGTATACATCGGATCTTGTTAAGAGGTTGCCGGTTCTGTAGAAAAACTAGATACTCTGTTGACTAGCTGAATAAAATAAAGTAGCGAATCTGGTGTGTACAAAAGCATCACTTACCGTAGGCTCCTTATTACCTTCTATTTAATAGGCTGTACTAATTTTTATTGGAGAGTTTCCTTCCTGTTCTACTCGATAGAATCAGCTCATAGTTTTGAAGTTATTGCAACTCTGGCTCAAGCTGGTAAGAGCTAGGCTGGGCCATTCAGACGGGGAAAAGTGCATATACTTGAATCATGACATTTTATAAAACTGTGCAGCAACAGGGTACTCGTCTCCTCTTTAAGCTTACTGTCTTATGTTGTCTTGCAGAAATATAGGCTTTACCTGAGAAGATTAGCCTGTGTTGCAACTCAACAAGCAAACATGTCTGCTGCATTAGGGAGTAAAGATCCCTCTTACTTGGGTATGGGTTCACTGGATGGCTTTGGAGATCTTCGCACATTGACTGGACCTGGAATGCTTTCGAATACTTCTCTATCATCATGTCAACCGGGTGTAATGATTAGTGGACTGAACTCCTCAGCTGCTTTAAGCCTACGTGGGATATCTCCTGGTGTAATTCAACCGGGACATTCTCAAACCTTGAACAATTCGATCGATGGTCTTGGGAAGATCGAGCCAGCTGTGTTACCTGCAAAACAGAATCAAAATGGAACTTTGTTTCGAGGGATCCCAACATCAGTAGAGCTCAACCAACCGTCGCAGAGCAAGTCCACTAACCACTTTGGAGAATTTAATAGTGTTAATGATCCAAATGTTTTTGGTGTTGCCACTTACTTCCAAGATGCCAGAGTGACGGTCGGTAGCTCGAGCAATTCTCTATTTACTGCCTCAGGCAACCCTTTGTTGTTACAAGCAAACACACAACACACAGAAGGGATTTAAATTACAACGGCCATCACATTTTCGTTTAATATTATTTATCTTTATTACAAACATAATAGAAATCATCGTAATAATTGTGGTTATTGCGTAAATTTGTTTTTAAATTTATATAAAATGTAATAATTATAATTATTAAAATTTTTATTTTATATTTTTAAAAGTAATTTATGATCTTTTATTTACTTAAAAAAATAATTCATAAATTTTTAGAGATTATACAAAATATTTATATTTGATTTAATAACAAATCTTTACTTAAGAAAAATTCATATTTAATATTAATTTTCAGAGAAACTAAATATATATTAATAAAGTAGGACATGTTAAATGATAAGAATTCATATATATAATATTAGTTTATTTATGAGTTTTTTTTATTTAAATGTATAAAAACATAAATTAACACTATTTAATCACTTTCATATTTAAAATATATATAATACACATATTATAATTAAGACATTAAATCATAATAAATTAATTATAATTATCTTTCAAATTTAAAATATATATATAATAATTGATATTTGTGTTTTTGAATTTAAAAAAAAAAAAACTAAAAGTTTATAAAGAAAGTTACTAAAGTAAAAAATCCATTTGAAAATTTTAAATTTAAAAAGAAATATCTTTAGGTGAAATTTTAATCAAATAAGATTAATTTTTTTAAAATTTTATATTTTGATCACAATTTATTGAGATTTTTTTTTTTAAGAAAAATATAAAGAATTAATCATAGATAATTTGGCTAAGATTTTATTTTAAAAAAGTTTTGAAATTTGAATTTAAATTAGGTATAATAGGTATTGTCCATATGTAAAAAAAAAAAAATTCATCTATACGTCCATTGACAAGTATCCTTATATATTGTAGTATAATATATACTAACTTGTTATCTTTATTTATTTAAATGTGTGTAAAATTTTAAATTAATATTATTTAATCACTTACATAGTTAAAATATATATAATATATTTATTATAATTAAAACATCAAATCATAATAAATTGATTATAAATATCTTTTAAATTTAAAAATTATATATATAATAAGTGGTAGTTGTGTTTTGGAATTTAAAAAAAAAAAGACTAAAAGATTATAAAGAAAGTTACTAAAATAAAAATATTCATTTGAAAATTTTAAATTTAAAAGGACTATCTTTGGATGAAATTTTAATCAAATAAGATTATTTTTTTAAAATTTTATATTTTTATTACATCATATTAAGATTTTTTATTTTTAAGAAAAAACTTATAAGTAATTAATCATAGATAAATTAGGAAATATTTTATTTTTAAAAAAAAGATATCTATTTAAGATAAATATATATTATATATTTGATTTCAAACATAAAAAATATAATTTTAATAGATTATAAAATAGTCAATTTATTAAGGATTTTTTTGACATATTAATTGATTTAATATTTTTATCATAAATTACTTTTAATTTATTCTATAATAAACAACATTTTCAATTATTATTTAATTATACAAAAAAAATAAAAACTAATCTATTACTAAAAAATTTACAAAAAAAAAAATCATTACTAAAAATCAAATACAAAAACATAAATTAATAAATTTTCTCTAAATAAAAAATCCCGATTAACCGAATAAATAAATTTAAATCCCGAACACTTTACCTGCATCTTCACCGTTCACTAATCTTCTCCTTAGTTCTCCTAACTGGTCGTCGATACCCAATCCATTCCCGATTTCCCTCTCACCTTTTACCCCAGGCAGCAACCTCTCATCCCAAGTTCCCAATTTTCACCGTCACCCACACCGCATCTTCAGTTCTCTCTTCTCATCTTCACAAAATTTTCTGGTCTCAGTCAAATCTCACCCTCATGGCCTCATCGGCTCATCCCTTAGACCCCTGCCTCTCATCAGCTCATCCCAATTCCCACCTACATTTCTACACACCCATAATCCCAATTCCCCACCCACAATCCCTCTATTTGCCTCTCATCACTCTTGCCTCAGTGATCCAGAGTCCAGTTTCATTCAACAGAAAATCACTGCAAGCTTTCAAAATTTTCAACCAAAAAGGTAATTTAAGTGCTGAATTGCTTGTACTTGATGTTTTGTGGAGATGAATATGTGGATTGAAGTCTCTGTTAGCCTAGGGTTAGTTTCTATTTGAAGATTTTAACCTGAATGATTTTTTATTGGTCTTGAAGTGTCACGCATACCATTAGAAAGGATCCACAATTTGCCAGATTGTCATCGGAAAGTCGTTGAAATTTTTTTAAGATGAAAAGGCACAAGAATATAGATTGGTTTGTAGAGAATTGCACAAAACATAAAAATTTCAAAAGTTTCAATTAAAATCTTACCTTAATCAGTGATTTCTAGGATTGATTTGTCCTTTCTCTTTCTCTTTTTTTGGAGGGTTTCTTCAAGTTTTCTTATTTCTTTTTCTGTCAGAGAAAACTATTGATAAAAACTGTGATAAATTTTTTTCTCTTCTCCTTAAGTTTTTTTTTTTTTAATAATACTGAGTCACTGATTAGTTTATAATAACTTAGGCTTGGGTATTACACATCCAGACAATGATTTAATGCCTAGGACGGAATATGGTATTTGAAAGTTTAAATCATAACCTGTGCCAATAACCTTCTCTTTCTTGTGTCGAATAGCTGCCTAGGTACCATTGGAAATGCTCTATGATCTCCTCATGTATATATTCCTCTATTTTTTTCAATTTTTGTTGATAAAAATGAATAAGGTCCCTATCTTAATGAAACAATAACAATAGGTAAATCAAGTCTTAACCATGAGGACAACTTTAGTAATAAAAAGAAATGATTGAAATAGTATGAAAATGCCCTCATTGATCTATTCACTCACTCATCTCACTAGCAAAGATTCCAAAAGTTTCACATAAAAAGGAGTTGGCTAATGACTAATGTGAAGTGAAGATTTTAACCTTGTGCATTTGACAATTGGTAGATGATGAAAAGTTAGCTCAAAGTTTCAGCACAAGATCATAAAGTCCAGTGTTCAGGTAATTTTTCTTTGTGATTCTTATGAGACGGTTCTTCTTATTTTTGCTGTCTTTTCACTCTTTCATGCAATTGCGATCCATGACTGCCAGACGATCAGACAGATGTGATCACAATGTCAACTCCTTCGGTATCCATATGCCACTCATTGGCCCATAAAAATTAAAAACATTGCCATCCACTCCAGGGCTGTGGACGTCCGAGGTAAGTATATATCAATTAGTGGGGATACAGCCATACAAGTTGTGAACTTATTGTGAAGGTTTAAGAGATTTCTCTACGTATTATTCCACACGAAACGGTTGAACTGAATGCATGACTAATTAAATATGGGATGTCAAAACTTTTCTGATAACCCCAATTATGCCATGCCAGGTGTCATCATATCTTTATGGAACGCATCATGCTAGCATTTGTTTGTCTCTTAAAATGGAAGAGGAGTCTATTTATGTAAATGTGAAGCAATATCATGGCATTTGGAGGCTAAGACAAAAGCGTGCTAAGGCTGAGCTTTGAAAAGAAAATCATTAAAGCTAGAAAGGTAAAATTGGTTTTTTTTTTTTTTTTCCATTTTTTCTTTTTCTTGTGGCTGGAAGAAAGGTAAAAATTAGGGAGGTTCAGGACTCAATTCTGTTGCCATTGACTACAGCCATACCTTCACGAGTCCCGGTATCTACACACTATGAGAAGGGCTAGGGGTAATGCTGGTTGTTTTCTTAATTCAGTGATGCCAAAAGTTGATATTACCAATCCCATATCAGAAAAGGGCATGAACTCAGATGAAAACGTTTCAATTGAATCAGCTCACTTATCTGGGTCTTAGTGTGTATCTGCCAATGGTATTGACACTTGCTAGAATATGTATCTATTTATCATTATTTTTCTGGTCATATTGAAAGCCAGCGTTCTCTTATTGATGCAATTGAAATCGGGCAGAATATGCAGATATTGCTGAAGTTCCAATTCAAGATGAATCCCAAGAATCAGGTAATTGTTCAATTTGAGATGAACATGTCTTGTGTACAGGTAGTTGCTTTTCAATGTGTGTCTGTGTAACAAATATTTAAAGTAATGAAGATCAAAGAAGGAATTTATTTCATTAGGCAAAGTAAAATTAAGAATTTAAGAGAGTATTTTATATTGCAAAATATTCATAAGCGAGCTCTGTTTCTCTATTTATATTGATTCAAATATAAATGATTCTATCCGTCATCTATCCTGCTTTTACCTTTTAATGGCTATGGTAGCGAGCGTTTAACTTGTGTATGTATGGAAATTCGCAGAAGTTGAAAATTTATTGGAAGTTTCAAACCAAGTAGAGAACCAATAGACAAGTTGTGGAGACCTGATGTCTGTTTTAATTCGAAGATCTCATGATTTTATCTTACAAAAGGTACTTATAGATTTAGGTTTAAATCTTAACATGTGTATTATATTATATCTACACATTCTTCTAATATGAAATTGGGGATATCACAATCTTTTCACTTTTAAAATTTGACGTCTTTGTCAAGTTAAATCTAACAATATAATTAAGATCATATCAGATGTTGAGATTTTAAAAGTGTTTCACAAAAAGCGCTCGTAAATTTGAGTTTAGATTTCAATATGTGTATTATATTATATCTGTATATTCTTCAAATATGAGGATTAAAGACATCACAATCTCTTTACCTTTAAAGTTTTACGTTTTTGTAAAGTCAAGTTTAACCATAAAATCAAATTACATTAGATGTTGAGATTTTAGAAGTGATTTTTTATCGTGTAACACTTAGTGACTCATGATGTAGTACTTAGTTTTTATTAACCGGTGATTGTTCTGATATCATTTGTGGAGATTCGTATCAAACTTGTGAAATATTGTTTATTTTGACTTAAAGGTAAGGTTGGCAACCCAATTTATCTTCGATGAGTTTCAACTCGATCCGATTTCATAGAGTCGATTTTTTTTTTTTTTTTAAATCGGGTTTCGAGTTGGATGATAGTAAGAAAAGGTTGGGGTCGAGTTTTAGACAAATTTAACTTGATTCTATATATATATATATATAAATATTTTTTAATTAATTATTTTATTAGTTATTTATATATATTTATATTTATATAATTTTATAATTATATTAAAATATAATAATTTATATTTTAAAAATAATATTTTATTAATTTCGGGTCAAATCGAATATAATTTATGCATTATCAAATCAGATCGAACATTAAAAAAATAAAAAAAATTTTAAATTGAGTCAAATTCGAATTTCGTAAATATAAAATTGAATCAAGTTCAAGTTAGCAAAATCTACCCCAACCATCTTTGCCTGTAGGTTTTATGATTTAATTTTGCAAAAGGCTTTATACATATTAGAGTTTAAATTTATATATATATATATATATCGGAAGTGTCACATGGATACTGGTTCCTTTCAGTCACTGTTTATGTTAGCTGTTTCCCCTACTTCTTGTCTTAACATAGGTCATCACTTGTTGTCATTTCAGACTTAGATGGCAAGGAGAAAGGATGAGGACGATCGTGGAAAAGGACAAGAAAAGGAGTTGTTTGGTATTATTCCTGTTTTTTACTTTGGAAACTATCGTTAGATTTCAAAATTTTGAAAACATGTAGGTAATGTTCTTATATATTGAAAAAATATTTAAATTATTAAAAATAAAATAATCTCAAGAATTAAATAACACTGATATTATATTTAGGAATGATATTATTTACATAATATCAAATATTATTATTTTAATAATTTTAAAATCTAATATCATTTAAGTAACTTTATAATTAAGTACAATAATAAATCATATCTTTAGAAAAGAATAATTAAATTAAAATTAAAAAGTAAAAATGATATAAAACATTAAATTTTATTATTTAATATTAAATTTTATTACATAATAATTTAAATTAATGTAATTCTAAATTATATGCAATAATATTTAACAAATCATATAAATAGTAAAACACATTAAATATAACATAAATAATTAGTATATTAAATTATTAAATACTAGAGGATATATTTTAAAGTTATATTATATAATAAAATATTAAATAATATTAGAAAAGGCTGAAAAAGGCCTGAATAAATGGGGATTACCTCATGTTCCCAATCTATTCAAGCTGTTTTCATCCTTTTTAGAGGCTGTCTGGCCGTTCTAATGTCGGATCCAACCTTGTTTGGTCAGATTTGATTGAGTAATGACTGGACTCGACCGTAGGGTGTTGGAAGGTAATGAAAGTAGAGAGAGAAGGGAAGTGGAAAAGTGATAAAAAGAAAGAAAAGGAAAAAAGAAAAAAAGACAAATAATTAAAATATTTTTTTATTATTTTAATTTTTTTTAATTTTTTAATCAAACAATTTAAAATTTGTGAAAAAAAAAAAGGAAATAATTTACAAAAAATATATATTTTTTAAAATATGATTTTCCATTGGACATTTTCCAATACTTCAAGACTATATGGGACTTTACCATTTATATATAGTTTATAATTAATAAATTATTTGTGTTATTGAGCTAATACTAAAATTATAATTATTGTGTTTTTTAGGGCATATAGGTCTTGTATCTTGCTTCCTTTAAATGCTAATTACCGGGGATTTCTCTGTTTTTGGGCTTTCCTTTTGACAGTTCGACAGGGATAATAGAGATGATGATCCTAAAAGAAGCAATTCTAGTGGTATGAAAAGCTGTGGATTTTTGGTGATAAACAAAAAACTCGTTCACTATATGTAAAATGACAGTAGTGAACAAACTTTAATCGTTGGCCAAAAGACAAAAAACAGACTTTAATAAATTATTCCTCATTTGTGCGGGCTCACTTCTTACTAACATACATCTTAATCCAAAGTGATGCAAATTTGCCATCACAATACTGTTAGGTATATATCAAAATTTGTCTGATGGATCTCCTTTTGTTCTTTATCTGTATATGTGCCCCCTTCTGTTATAGATTTTTTTTTTATTTACATTTACCACTTTGAAAATTTATTCATATGTAGAGGATTCAATTTACAAGGAAAAGAAATCACCCACCTTTGTTGTGATTGACTTGTCTATACATGCTTGTTACAGGCCAAACAAAAAAAAAAAAAAGGACTAATATTAACTTGAAAAAACAGAAACTTAGAGGAATAATTATAATCAGAGTTTGAAGAGATTTCTTTAATGTTCTTAGCATATGATATATCTTCATTTAGTCTAGCATACTTCCATTTTTCTTTCCATATTTCCTTTGATCAAGCTGATTGAAATTATATTTATGGAATGTTTCTAAGGATTAATGTCTGCTTGATCAATCTTATTACTATGGAATATGCTGGTTGATAGCTTAGGACTCGTGGAAATTGTTGGGTTCTTTACTTGTTTTTGTCCCAACTCATCCAGTTGGGCAAGTCTCATCTATAAGCTGATATATTTAGGGCAGTTTGTGGATCTTGTATTACAAGTTTTTCTACTTTTCTTTTGCCTGCCTATTGAAATCTACATGTACTGAACTATGCCCTGTAAGAGTTCTGCCTACAAGTAAATCGGTTAGTATAACTATTGACATATATGTCCTTGCCCTCTCGACGGGATTTTACATGCAAGAAATAGATAAATTTTAGCATCTTGTATGCAAATGGATGATTGTGTTGAGAAATGGCTGGAAGTTGTAGCCAATGTAAACATGCTGAAATTTTTGACGTGTGCTACACTAACAACCGTTGTACTACAGTATCATGTTACTGTACATGAAAAGTTGGCGGCAATTGATTGGTGATTGATTTCTTTGGAAGAAAAAGGATTAACGACTTTATATAAGTCTCAATAAAGCAATATAAATTTATCCAAAAGATTGAAATTAGTCCAAAAGATCTATCTAAAACAGTTACTTAGTTCTTTTGTGGAGAATGGACTCATTTCTAATTGATTGATCGCAAAGAAACATAGGACTGAATCCCAGATTTATTGTGACCCAATGGAAAAAAAAAACAAACTAAAGACATTTGAAGAAGTTGGTTTCAGACTGATATAGAAAGAGAGGTGCAGTAAAAAAAATCACCTGGAAATCGTCGTCAGAACTGTTGTGAGTTTTGCTCAGCATTTTAAGTCGGTGTTTTGATAGGTTAGAACAAGCTGATCATCAAGAGAGTTGACTTGGCATTGACAAACATGGTTAGTGGATTAACGGTGTGTTGGTTCGTACTTCTAACTTGGTGGTTTCTGATATTCTATTGGCCAATAAGATTTTTCCTTTTATTAGAGGCAAAAAAAAAAAATAAAAAATTTAACATTTCGTTAAACTGTAAAAAGTTATATAAGAAATTATTTCTTGCAGCCAAATTTTTGGATCTCATAAAGAAATATACTAGTGTTTTTAGAATTCATAAGCAAAGTTAATGGAATCTCATTGCATGTATTTAAAAAATAAATTAATAACACTTAAGTTAGTTTTTTAATTTTATTTTTAAAATTAAAAAATTATATTGACAATTTATTAAATATTAACTCAACCTATATTAGAACTTACAAATTATTATTAATTATATATATATATATATATATATATATTAGTTGAGGATGGTAACCTTTTAGTTAATTTTTAAAAATTTTTTATACAATAATCTATCCACTAAGTTTTATCAATATATTGGTTTTAATTCTCAATGTTAACTTTCATATACTCGATTTCTTCTTTGAGCATTCAAATGTTTGCTTTATTTATTAAAACTATGATTGCTTGAGTAAATTATTCCACAAAAGGTATGCTAATGTATTAAAACTTTAAGATTATATATATTTTTAGAGAAGATAAAAAATTAAAACTAAAAAGTTGTGCGACTCAACTAAAAAACGAAAATAGGGTAAACGACGTCTTCCTTATTTGCAATTAAAAATTATAATTGAGTCAAGTAAAATCAAATTGATACAGTAAAAAAAAATTTTGAGTTCGTATTTAATTTAAAACTAGATTTAAGTTCGATTAAATTTAAATTTTTAAATTCAAACTTAACTTAAAATAAAAATTAAGTTATTTGAACGTAATTAATTATATTTGTTTAATAAAAAATAAATTTTATTTTTATATTTGATTTTAAATTTAATTATATATTTATACTCGAGTTAATATATATATAAATAAAATAATAATTTTTTAATTAAAATTAAAAATTTTAATTAAACTTACGAGTTACTCGAATTATATATTAAAATATTTAAACTTGATTTATTTGATAAATTAAATTATTTGAATCAAAACTCAACTAAACAATGATCAAATTAAATTTAAATTTTATTTAATCTAAATTTAAATAATTTATAAATATTAATATATCATTTACATTTCTATTCACAATCAATCGACCAGGTTCTTACAAACCCAAATCATCGGTATGGAAAAATCACAAAAACTTTTTTTTTTTCTTTTCTCTTTCTTAATGAAAGTTTTGCTATTTGCATGTTGAGAAAAGACCCGAGTGTCCATGACCAGTTTGCAAATTTAAGCTTTCGATGCAATTTGTCGTCGGTTTCAAACTTAAATCGATGGTGTGAAAGGGTTTTGTTTTTTTCTTTCGCGTCGACCCTACATTGACGACAAAAGTAAATAAAGCTTGAGATGTTCTGTAACGTGTTATTCCAAGTCGTTGGTTTCAGACGGATGTGGTCAACTTTTCAATTGCTCGTTTTCAAAGACGAAACTACGCACATTTACACAAAGCTAAAGATCGCATTTTAATCACTGATATTTTAAATGTTATTGTTTTGATCATTTACCTTTTAAATGATAATAGATTTGTTATTTGATATTTTATGTCATCAAATTTGACTAGGTAACATATTTATATAAGAGGTGATTAAAATATTTTTAGTAATTAAATTAAGAATTTTTCTTTTTTTTTTTTCTCTATCCAAGGAAAAAAATAAAAAATTACCCCATGATGCAGTCATTGAAATTGATGAGTCAACTTCCAATTGAACCAGTTAACTCACTCGGGTACAATTTTTATAAATAGATATCTTTTAATGATGTTGAGTCTAAAAAGGAGTGCTTTGAAAATATTTGTTAAATTAAAGTATTTATTTTTAATAAAAAAGTAATATCTTTATTTAATTTATACACTGAATTAGTAAAAAGTCTCACAAAGTGGATCGTCAATTATGGTGCATACTTGTTAAAGTGTTTCCATGGAGTTATTTTTTTCAAATTGAAATGCATAAAGCTATTTCCACTTCATCCTTCGGGACATTTCCCTTCCTTTATCGGTGACAAGAACTTCATCCCTAACTAGAGCTACTTTTTTCCGTTCGAAAAACTTTGAGGTGAGTTCATCACTAAATGCTTCTGTCGACTCCAAATATTTCCAGGTTTTTGTCCAAGCGCCTGCATGCTTTGATGTATTTGTGTCTGTGTGTGAAATTTTGTTTTGGTTTTATTGTTTAAACTCAGTCTTAATGCCACTTCTTGCTTCAACTATCAAACTTTATTAGTATCATGCACCACATTTTTGTTAGTTTCCAAAAAAACGTACGTAGAAGACAGGAAATTTATTAAAGAACGAAAATTCATTTCATGAATGTTTCCTTCCTCCTAGTTTGACTTTCTGTCAAACTCTTATCCTCGATCTCTCCTTCTCGACCTGTTCCGGTGTCTATCTACCGTCGAGAAATATGTTAGACGGCAGAGGCTTCCATTCCATCTCCACCCTCTTTCCTTTCTTCCCAAACACTAACTTTCTTCCTCTCTTCTTTCCCCTCGATCCCCCCTCCCTTCTCCGTTTCCGATCCCACTAGCTCAGTATCCGTCTTTCCCACTCTAGATTTGGCTCCTTCCCTCATTTTGACATGTTTTCAGGCTGTTTTCCATCGGTCGGATCCAGTCTTGTCATAACTTATTTGCAATTACTATTAACAATTCAACTGTTAAGTTTAGTAACTTAACCACGTACACTTAAAAGTTTTAAGTTAATTCAATATTCATTTTATGTATATCAACTGAAAATATTTTATTTTTCAATATATATTAATGGATGAAATTTTATTGTTATCCAATTAATAATTAAACATTTTTTAATTAACTTTTAAATTTTGCATGCATGATTTACATGAATGTTTCGAGACAATTTTTGGATATAAACTTAGCAACCTGACTCTAATCAAACGATCTAAAGGTTCTCATCTCTGATAACAACACCTTGATTATTTCCAAAGACATTAGCTTACCGTAAACCTGTGTTTGGTGGTGCACCTAATTTCAAGCCTAAGCTATAGGTTGAATATTCATTTGTGCCCCCAAGTCAAGTTTTGTGTCACGGCACATATTAAATTACAAGTTATTGTTAATCTCATAATTTTATTATACAAAAGACATCTCATAAGTTGAAAAAATATTTAAAGGTAGTTTGAATATTTATATCTCAAAATTAATTTTAATATATTACCTACGTGGATTTGTGTTAACCTATGGAGCTACTTGTGGTTGACCAGCAAGTGCATGTTTCTTATTCACGTTACCATTTTGAACTTGGTTGAAATTTAAACATTGACTTTGGTAGGCTAAGTCATGGTTAACGACATTTGAACCCAAAGCCCTAGTCTTAGTTTCCATCAAACTTAGCTGGTTTGCTTCTTGACCTTAGTCTTATTGCGCCCGAAGCAATAATCACAACAATACAAAAATAATATATCGCAATAAACTCACAGACAATAATCAATAATTAAAAACGTAAAAAAATAAAAGCATACTAAGATTTACGTGAAAAATCTTTCAGTATAGAGAGAAAAATCACAAACCACTAGAAAATTTTTCACTATCAAATAATGGATATACAAAGTTCTTCTCTAACTAAAACTAGAGCTAATCAACGACTAGAGATATAATTGTAGAAATCTCACCAAATAGGTGACTCAACAAATATACCATAAATTTGTTCCTAAAGAGCTTCAAACTCGATCTTCACCGTTCAGAATGTAGAACTTTGAATCATAAACATGCTGAAAAAGTTTCAGCTTAATTGGACCATGGATTGACTTCCGTTCAACCAACTCTCCATTCTCTTTTTTCTCTCTGCTTTTCCTAATTTTTCTTTTTCTCTTCTTGGTTTGCGACACCACCTAAAACAACTCCATCTCTTTTTTATTAAGTAGCTAGGCCCATGGCCCATGGCCCATGGCTCTGTGTAAAAAGAAAGACCAAGGCCCATGACCTTTACTTGGTCAAAAACCAATTACATGGGGTTGGACCCTATTTTCCTAACAATCTCCCCCTCTAGCCCTATTAGGAGGAGATTCATCACCATAACAGTTTCATTTGAAACTTACCTTGGCTAGAGAACTCAATTCAGCCAAGTTACTGCGAATCTCAAGCTTTTTTCTAAGAAGTATCTTAGTCAACATATCTACTACATTCTCATTAGTATGGACTTTTTTCAATAGCATCTGCTATTCTTTAATCATTGAACGTAACCAATGATATCTAATATCAATATGCTTTGTTTTAGCATGGTACATTACATTCTTACTCAAATCTAAAGCACTCTGGCTATCACAAAATATCACATACTTTTTCTAATTCAACTCCAATTCAAGAAAAAAATGTTTCATCCAAAGCATTTCTTTACCTGCTTCGGTTGTTGCAATATACTTAGCCTCTATAGTTAACAAAGTAACACACATCTGTAACTTAGACTGTCAAGACACAGCTCCTCTTACAAAAGTGAACAAATACCCTGAAGTAGATTTCTTACCATCAAAATCACCTACCATGTCAGTATCAGTAAACTCTTCTAGAACTGGTTGTGAAACTTCATAAGTCAAAGATATTTGAGGTGCCCCTCAAATATCTAAAAATTCATTTCACTGCTTCCCAATAAACCTTTCTTGGATTAAAAAGAAATCTGCTTACTACACTAACTGCATGAACAATGTCAGGCGGTGTATAAATCATAAGATACATTAAAGAATAGACTGCAGAAGAATAAGAAATACTAGACATAGCTAGTTGCTCTTCCTTAAACACTGACAAAATTTTTTACTTAGATGAAAATGGTTAGCAAGTGAACTGCTAACTGATTTAGCATGTTGCATGTTGAATCTACTAAGCACTCGTTCAATATACTTTTTCTGTAACGATCACAGTTTTTCAGCTCACCTATCCTGGATAATATTCATATAAAAAATCTGCTTTGC